AGTCAGCCTGCAAAGAAATTTTAAGTTGTCTGCATTTTTTAGATAGAGAGTGGGTGCGATACGGTAACTAAGAGAAGACCAAGCATGATGAGAGGCCAATCTGTATCACATCATTGGTATTTTAAGATGAAAGATAAGGACTAGAACTTATTCCAAACAAATACTAAGACACTCTGCAGGCAGAGTAAAAAATATTATAGCACAGTCAGTTTCACAAGATCAAAATTGATCTTTGTTCTTTCCATTTAGATCCTGAAAAATACTTCCAAAAGCTCTATTTTTTTCCCCTGTGAGGGAAGAAAAAACAACAACACCAAACACTGAGCTGAGCCTAAGAAACATATCTTTTCTTTTACTACTCTATCACCTAAACTTTCTAATCAGGGGAAAAGTGGCTTAAGCACCATCCCTGCTTATCCATAGCTTGACTATGAAAGAAAGAATTGCAAGCAACCTTGTGTCCCAGGCAATCATGGAATGTATCAGTATGTTTTAACTTTTTTCTGCCTGAAAAATACATAGTGTTTCCCCTTTTCTTATAAACTGTCAGAGAATGACATAGTATCACTGAGTAGGTAAATTTGGAAGGGACTTCTTGCAGATTATCTAGGCCAACACCCCTACTCAAGGACAGTCAGCTACCGCAAGTTACTAAGGACCACAGGTCAGGGTGCAGTCATGTTTTAAATACCTTCAAGGACGGAGAACTTGGGGACTATCCTAACAGCCTGTTCCAGTACCTGAGAGCCTTCACAGTGCTCAGATGGAATTTCATGTATTTCAGTTTCCACCCACTCTCTCTGGTCCTGTTGCTTTGACTCTACCAAGGATTTCATTTCACTTTCTTGATTTGCATCATCAGGTATTTGTATACGCTGATAAGAACATTCACCATGTGTGATAAGCACAACCATCTGGGGTATAGTGCATTCTTCCCAGTTTTGTATCATCAACAAACATGCTAAGTACGCAATCAAACCAATCAACTGGATCACTAATTAGAATGTTAAACGATACTGAAGCCAGCATTAATCTATAGTGTACATCACCAGCAACTGGCCTTTCGTAGGACTTTGTAGTGCTAATCACAACCTTCTGAGATGGCAGTTCAACCAGTTTACAGTCTTTCGGTCTCTCTTGCTGTCTGTTGTTCAGCCCGTACAGATTGCTTATGACAATACGACAAGAAACAAATTGGAAAGTCTTGCTGATAGCAAGATAGACAACATCTACTGCTCCTCTTCTCATCCACCAAGCTATCCTTCTGTGATGAGATAGCTATCAGGTGAGCTAAGCATGACTTTCTCTTTTTAAATCCATGGCCATTATTCCCATTCATCTTCTTGCCCTTTATCTGAAATTACAGGATTACACATTCTTTCACTATCGCAGTGATCAAGACAAGGCTAACCAGCCTGCACTTCTCCAGATCCTTCCTAGAGGGTGTGATCCATGCTTCCTTCCAATCCTCAGGAACTTTTCTAAATTGCCATGACATTTTGAAGAAAATTGGTGTGCCCTTACACTGCTATCAGCCATCAACTGAGAACTCGTGGATACATCCCATCAATGCCATGGATTTCTTGACATCCAGATTAAGCATTCATTACCATAATCCTCCTCTTTCAACAGTAAGTCTTTCTTACGCCAGGCTTAGCCTCCCTTCTTAAGGGTCTGGGATACCTGAAGTCCGCGCTTATAAGTGAAAACAGAGGTGAAGAAGGTACTGATAATCTTAGTTTCTTCTGTGGCCTTTGTTATTCCCAGACCTTTGTAATCACCCAATTCAATTAATCAGCCTAGCTTTTCTTTCACTACTTACAGTAGTCTTTTTGTTTTTGTTGTTCTTTACATCCCTCACCATCTTCATAATCATAGATGGTGTTTGGCTCTCCCTGAACCTTTTTCAAATTCTCATTTCTCACATTACTCATTCTGTTACATACTTCATTTCACCAATCTTCTCAGAGAAGTCTTTCCTTCAAAAACACGTAATTATTTTTAACCTATCTTTTCACACTGCACAGTGCTGGTAACAACTGAAAATAGGCTCATAGCATATGTTTCTGACCAATTTTTTAGTTGATAAACAAGCATATTTGCATTAATTTTTCATTACTTCAAATATTTCTTTAGACTTTTTGCAAGAGCCAGAAACAAAGGACTTCAATTAATTTATCATAATCCTTCACTTTGTATGAAAGAAAAATATACATTCTAATTTATTTCAGTATAAGGAATTGTATAAAGTAAGAGATCAAGATAGCTTACATTCTCATATTTTTGGTTTTTTTCTCCTTCTCATCTTTTCCCAAGAACTTTCTTTCAATTCTTTGTATTTGGCTACTAGGGTGTAGTAGGTTTCTTCTTAGATCAATTTAGTTTGCACTAGTGTTACGTCAGCCCTTTGCTCACAGAAAATAAATTTATGGAGGGCTGTAAGACAAATCCATATTAATTGCTCTCAATTGTTAAAAATAGCCTCCTTTCCCCCTTCCCGTCTAAAAGTTATCACTCTTTAGCAATTGATCTTAGATCTTCTTTCGTTAAATCCAACCTGCTCTTTCCTTTTTCCCTATGCCTTCTACAAAACAGACAGCACAAACCAAATTAAAACAGGAGATCTTATTATTAACTTGCACATTAATCCAGCCTAATTCGTAACTTTATTGAACCTCACCAAAATCATATTGTATGTCTTAAGTGATCAGTTAGTGCTTCTTACAATTATTTCTTATTTAGAGTATCACAGAATCCTAAATCCTAGAAGGGTTGAAATCAAATGGGACCTATCTAGAAAAAGAAAGAAGAAAGAAGTTGCTTCTGTTTATCTTATTTTCCCACCCCAATATAGGAATATTTTGAAAAGAAACATTCAAAGTAAGAACAGAAGTTTCTGATTGGCTTCAGTAATTATCTTTTACTTAGGAAGTATGGAAGAGAATAGTAGTGAAACACTAATTTACTGCAGAAGTACAACACTTGAATATACAGGAAATAAAAGAGATTTGAAGGAACGCAGTGTCAGGAGTCATTTAATATAATTTGCTTATAATTATATAGAACATGATTTGTTTACATAAAATTAACCTAATAGTACAAAACCCACCATTTGAATTTTACCATTAATTAGAAAAAAAAAAAAGCTAGAATAGAATAGACTAATATCTCAGAGTATCTACTTACTTTCCCAAGTCTAAATATATACATTTATTTTGTGCTTTGCATTGCAGAGATACAATAAAGTGACTAATACTAAAGAAATCACAGAAGCTGTCTTAGAAGCAGAGTCATTACCAAAGATTCTTTTTCTGCTTTTGATACAGTTTGATTGCACATTCATCTTATCCTCCTAATATTATTCAGTTAGAAAGAAGGGAGGTAGAAAGGACTCATCTCTTCCCCCTGTTCCACCAAATCTGTCCATTACACTGAAAGAAGAAACAGGAGTACATGACTTTTCCCTCCAGTACCCACTAACAGGTTAACTTCAGTGCTAATGCAAATGTGCAAAAATTGTGAGATCTTCCCTTAAATCAAGCTCTTCACAACTTTATTTTCTCCTACAGAAGATGTTGAATTGTAAAAATCTTTAATTATATCACAGTACACCTTAATTCTGTAAATGATTATTACCTTCAACTTTGTATTTCTCATACACATTTGATATATGCTGTATGTTAGACTGGCCAGTAATTGAATAAATCGTAAGACACATTGTGGCTTTGTACTATTTTATTTCCTCTCCACAAGAGACATCACCTACAACTACTTTACCCTCCATTACTTCTCTTTATCTGTAATATGAGAAACTTATATTGCTATTTTCCATATATTTCACATTTATCACTGCATTTACTTCAAGTTAATTTTCTTCATCTGAACTTATTCAACTCCCACACAATTATACCTAATATATCTTCCACTATTTGCCATTGCCAATACTACAATATTCCATTCTTCAAAACAAAAACAGTTGTAGCACATATTTACAAATGCCTGACAGCGACCAGATTGCTAGAGCCAATCACTGAAAAAAAATATTGATATGGCAGATTCCTCTTTATGTTACAGCATCTTGGGGAATCCATAGGATAACAGTACGTAGTATGAATTTGATCAAATTGATAAAATTTGTATTAAAATATTCCTCAAATGACTGTATATTGTTGATAGAACCCTATTTCATAAAAAAAACAAAAGCAGTTTTTATTCAGAAGCGTGCATTCACACACGTTGTCAGGTAAAGCACTCAAACTCTAAACAAGTTATTCATCTCTTCACTATGATGTAAGGAGCGTACCTTTGTTAGATGACAGTCTGACTGTACTGAGCAAACATGAAGTGTTTCTAAAGCTTACCTACTTGCTAAAGCTATAAGCAATCCAGTTCGACTAGATCAAGGAGCTTGCAGAATTAGGAGCTTAGAAAGATGACTGCACCTCATAATTCCTGTCACAGAACACATCAAGGTAATTTTTGGCAACTGTAGGCTCAGAACTTTCTACAAACAGTTTAATTCGCCCTTAAAAAGACACTAGCATAACATACTAGAAGAGTGCCACATGGCTGGTCATATCAGCTTTCCAGAGGAAGGCCAGGCTAAGAGTTTTCAAATGACCAAAATTTAAAATTAAATATATATTTATATATGTATCTGCACTTATCCTATGCATTAAGGAACGCAAGAGTCCGTCTGTATAACATCTGTACGATAACTTTAGCCTCAGTGCCGGTACCATGTGCTCCAGTATTAATGAGAAGCAACCTGCCAAGTTACAGATTTTTGAAAAAAGACTGAACTTCACTTCTATGCTGAGCTTTATGAGCAATTCCCTTCAGACCATCTAGAAGCATTTTAACAAATCTGTAAGAAATACAGGTTTTGACATGTCGAACATCAAGACAGACAAAAACACAGATGCTAGTTTATTTAAAAGGTGGGCCATAAAACAGATACACCAAAAATATATTTGTCATGAGTTAAAAATCTTGCTTACCTTTGGTTAGAAAGCTTCTCAAAGGATGTCTACTCGAGTCACTTCTTCTCTAACTTAAATAATATGGAGATACCTGCAAGTGAAGTGAGACAGGTCAGGTTGGTTGTTGTTTTATTTGTTCATTTGTTTCTTAGACGAAGGCATCCAGTTACAATATTTAGGCATAAGTAAAAAAAAAAAAAGCCTACCACAATAACTTCAGAAGAACATTAGTATGAGAATCTAATAGCATATGGAAATACAATACAAATAAACCCTAATGGCTTAAAAATTCAGCATAGTGCAACACATATCATGTTTATGTGGTGCAACAGAGAATTTAAAGATGTTATTTGTTCAAGTTCCGGGCAATAAATTGGGAAAAAAAGCTATGCTGGGGAGGAATGTGGGGAGAAGGCATAATAAACAACTAGCTGCAGAACTATCAGCTTGTTTCCTTATGGCTCTGCTTCAATGGTCATGATAAAAGGTGCACAGTAGAACTGTATTTTTTGCAGCAAGTAGCTCAGTAATATTTTCAATTACAAGTCAGAAAAATTCATTATGTTTCATAAAATATTTTGAAGGAAGATTGTAGTCAGTTCTTTCCACAAAGTTTAAAAAACATTCTGCTACAACTTATGGAATGAATTCCAGCTAACAGAGCATCAAACACTCTAAACTTCACATTTTACAGGCAAAAAAGAAAGCCTTTAAAACATTAACAAAAATGTCTAAACTAACAACTAACAACTCTAGCTCAAACATACAGAAATATTGCTAATTCAGAAAGAAGTAAAATTTACTTAAAACTATTATTATTATAGAGAATCCTGAACCTCTAGGTGAAGGTGTGGGGAGTGGATTCCATTCCACGGTAATAGTGGAACAAGTCTGAGAGTTCCGCATGCAATTGAATTTATACAAGTCTATGGGGCTGTATGATATCCTTCCTAGGGTTCTGAGAGAGATGGCTGATGTGGTTACCGAGCTTCTCTCCACCATATTTGAAAAAATCATGGCTGTCTGGTCAAGTCCCCAGTGACAGGAAAAAGGAAAACTCCCATTTTGAAGAACAGGAGAAAGGATGACCCAGGGAACTACAGGCCAGTGAGCCTCACCTCTGTGCCTGAGAAGATGATGGAGCAGATCCTCCTAGAAACTATGTTAAGACACATATGAGACCAAGAGGTGATCTGAGACAGGCAGCACAGCTTCACCAAGGGCAGATCATGCCTGACCAATCTGGTGGCCTCATATGATAGAGTGACAACTTCACCAGACAGGGGAAGGGGGACAGATGTCATCTACCTGGGCTTCTGCAATACTTTTGATATGGTCCCTCACATCCCTCCTTCTCTCTAAATTGAGGAGTTACGGATTTGAAGGATGAACTCTTCAATGGATTAAGAATTGGTTGGCTGGATGCAGCCAAAGAGTTGTGATCAATGGTTCTGTGTCTGGGTGGAGGCTGATCACAAGTTGGATCCCTCAAGGGTTGGTCTCGAGACAAGAGCTCATCAACATTTTCATCAGCAACATAGACAATGAAATTGAGTGCACCCTCAGCAAGTTTGCAGATGCCAAGTTGAGCAGTGCAGTCAGTACAGTGGAAGGAAGGGAAGCCATCCAGAGGGACCTGGACAGGCTGGAGAAGAAGGCCCTTGAGAACCTGATAAGGTCCAACAAGGCCAAATGCAAGGTGCTGCACTTGGGTATGTAAATACCACAAATGGTATTTACATAAAATGGGGGAAGATCTCCCTGAGAGTAGCTCCACAGAGAAGAACTTGGGGGTCCTGGTAAATGAGAAGCTGGACATGAGCCAGCAGTGCACTCGCAGCCCAGAAGACCAGCTGTGTTCTGGGCTGCATTAAAGCAGGAGTGGCCAGCAAGGAGAGGGAGGTGACTGTCCCCCTCTACTCGGCTCTTGGGAGGCCCCATCTGGAGTACTGTGTCCAGGCCTGGAACCCCCAGCAGAAGAAAGACAGCTCTTGGAATGGGCCCAGAGGAGGGCCACTAAGATGATTAGAAGGCTGGAGCATCTCTCCTATGAAGAAAGGTTGAGGGAATTGAGTTTGATTAGCTTGGAGAAGAGAAAGCTCCAAGGAGACCTCATTGTGGCCTTCCAGTACTTGAAGAGAAGATATAAACAGGAGGGGGTACGACTGTTTAATGGTGATAGGACATGGGGGAATGGTTTTAAACTGAGACAGGGGATGTTTAGGTTATATACTAGGAGTAAGTCTTTCCACACAGAGGGTGGTGATGCACTGTAACAGGTTGCCCCATCCCTGAAGGTGATCAGGCTGGATGTGGCTCTGAGAAGTCTGGTCTAGTGGTTGGCAACCCCGCACAGAGCGGAGGGGAAGAGGGGGGTTGAAATTAGATTATCATTGTGGTCCTTTTCAACCAATGCCATTCTCTGATTGTATTTCAGACAGGTCTCTTAAATCAACATATAGAGATATCGTATATAAAATCACTATCTACCATTATGGTTAACTAGCTACATATGTTATCTGTGTTAACACAGTTTCAAAGGGAATTTATTTTACCATAATCTCAGATAGTAAAATCGAGCTTGAAAAAACACAATGCTACATTCATTTTGAAAGAAAGGAAAACACAGCAGGAAGCTATGCTATTTCCTCTACTAAACAACCACCATAAGGATAAAAACAATTCTAGAAAGTATTTTACAGAATATGAAAATGAAAATGCACAAAAATACAGAAAATGAAAAAGCACAAAGAGTTCCAAGATTCTAAGTCAACTACAAGTCTAAATATTATGGCCCTTTCCAACTCTAAGGGTTCTATGTTAGATAAAAATAAAAAATTTAAAAACACCCTGTCACAAATGATTCTGATCACCTATTTATGAGTGTAGAATGTAGAATCCACTGGTCCATAAAGCAAAGTAACTTCAGAGAATTACATGGTTCTTTCAAGAGACAGACAAATTGGAAAACACTAGCCTTTGTCCACATATTGGTATTTTTTTAATCCAGAGTTTGAAAACAGTGCACTGCACTGGGAAAAGAAATTAAGAACTGAGAAGAAAAATAAATTGGCATATGTAAGAAGAATTAATGGCTTTACCAGCATTCTAAGAGTTTTCTTCACAGTATCTTGTCCTACATGCGCGAAGATATGCAATTTAAAAATTATTCAAAACACAGGTTGCTTTAAATTCATTTCAGGTAACAAACTGCATATCAGAAACAAGGGGAAACCATGCTTATTTTCTTCAATATACCATAAAACTTGATTGCAATATTAGACTTCAGAAGAATCCTCTGAGTAAGAAAATTATTATATGCCTGGACATCCATTCACTATTCCCAGAGAACAACCCAGATTGCTTTTTTTCCTCCACGAAGTAATACATGTATCTACAGGTCTTTCAGTCCTCTCTTTCTGTTTTTCTAAGTGCCCCCTGGAATCAAAAACCAGGACTTTGCTTCTACAGCAAATGTCACTGAGGAAGCCAACTTGGCCAATGACAAGGCAAAGAAATGCTCGTGTAAGATACCTAAAATGTGAGTTTAAGAAGGCCAATCATCATAATTCCCATTTGGCAAAAGGTCAGGCATTCAAACTGTTGCCTGCCATATACTGCACACCATTTCCAAAGGTTAGAAATACACTGATCTTGATCTCAAATTCCTATAACCACAACTAGTTGTGCAAGAAACTAGCAGAAAAAACAAGAAGAAAACAAGCAGGGGAAAAAAAAAAAAAAAAGGCTGGAATACAAAGCATATAATGCTGGACATTAAATCACTGTGAATTCTTCCTTCTCAAACCTGATGTGAAAATAATCTGCCCCTGAACCTTTGGTGTTATTTACGCCCAATCTTTTAATATTTTCTCTTCCTATTTTCCTATTCACAGGAAAAGCAGAGCATTAGTATCAGACATCTAATTATTTTCTGGCGAGTTTTCTTCCTCTGAAAAATGAAAGACGTATTGTCTAGTATGAAAAGGACTGCCCAGAAAGGATGGCCTAGATGGACAGCATCCAGGTCAGAAAAGCCTAGTTCTAAAGTTGGCTTCCAAGTGCCCTGAACACTGGACAGATGGTCACTACATGGATGAGCTCCATAGCAAGACACCCAGAACAGCTTACTGCATATTCACTATGATCTATATAGCAAGTCTGAAGTTGGAAATCTTGGACACGCTTGACTACAGTAGAAGAATTATAGATAAAATAGAGGAAATATGCATACGATATAACTTGTCACTAACTGTTTATTTTTAACTATTTTGCCTGTTTCCTAGGCAAATCTGTTGCCTATCCTATCAGCTTATATACACCTGTCACACTGAAAGAAATGCCTCCTACTTATTACCATGGAAACTACAACATATACATAGAGTACAGTAATACTGTTTGATAGAGCAAATTCTCTGCTAAAAAAAAAAAAAAACAAAACAAAACACTTCTTCAACACAGTCACCACCATCAGCCAGCTCACACAGATGAGCTGAATCAAGATGCTCTTCACTTTCTGGTGTGATAGCTGTGCGTGGCCAACCAAAACATGGTTTGTTTTTCCCCATGTCTGTCACCACTGCTGAAATGCACCACCAAACAACCACCGCACTGTGCTCACATCCACTCTTTGTTCTCCAGAAATCTTCAGCAAGCATCAATAGATGTCAACAGGTCAGCAACTTTTCCTCACAGAGGAATTCAATGCCACACCTTTGCTTCATCCGCATTTCTATGTCAGATGCCAATTGGTCAGAATGTCCCTCAGCTGTTATCTGTCAGACAACAATGAAACAGAATGGAGTATCAGTGGGAAGATTCAATCCCTGCTACCATAACATCAACATCTGTCTCTGACATCATAAAATAGGAGGCATTACTTTCAGAACTGCTCTCATATAGACACAGAATCAGAATCACAGAATCGTAGAATGACATGGGTTGGAAGGGACGAAAAGAATCACCAAGCTTCAACCTCCCCGCTGCATGCAGGGCCTCCAACCTCCACACTTAATACTAGAGAAGGCTGCCCCAAGGCCCCATGCAACCTGGACATGAGATCTCCATACAGTCAACAAATGTACAGTTGGA